GGACAACTAACTGCGCCTATCCACTCCCCAAGACTCATCATTTGAGATCGTCAACTAATGTTTATCTCTTTTCAAAGGTAAAAACAAACCACATACAAAGGCAATAGAATAAAAAGATCAACTCCTAGATCTACCATTTGTCCCACTAGATTTTCCAAATGTTCTAGTTAACCTCAACCCTTTCTGTTTTTGGCAGAGAATAGAAACTCAATTCAGGACATTAAAATATCTCTCACGAAGAAGGTCGCTTGATAACCTATTTCACAATAACTGTTCACCTAAGCTATTATACAAAAATTTGTCAAAAGAAAACATGTCTACTAAAGACTAAAGAATCTAAATAGACAGACATAAACGCAAATATAAGCACAGGAAAAATAATTTTTAAGATTAGAAAAGATTAGAAAATCATTTTAGAAATCAGAACTGTTTTTCAAAAAAAGTTGTCATAAAATTTCTTTTCTCTTTTAAAGATAAAACGTAAAGTATTAAGATGAAAAGAAATAAAAAGGGTACAGAGTAAGTTTAATTTGAGAGATAAAAGATATGATCAATGGATGAATACTCTTAAAACGAAAACTCTTTTCTCCAAGTCTTTTAAAGACGAAATCCCATTTTATAGAGAGGGATGAGAATCCCGTATTTAGAAAGTGAAAGACTTTTTTCAAATCAAAATATTGAATTTCTATTTTTAGAAGATACGGAAGTCTTTGTTACCAAATCTTTTGAGTCAATATTCTTTCTTTTTAGCAAGTGAATAAAAGAAAATTTAACTTTCCTTTAAAAATAAAAAATAAAAGAAATCTTTTTTTCGAAATATTTTACCAAAAACGATTTGAGATTTAGAATCCCTTTCGTTTTAGGTAGAGATAAAATTAAGATTTTGGATCTTCTTTAAAAATTTGTTTCCGAAAATGAAGAACATTAAAAAAATCTTATTTCGATTGTTATTCTATACCAAAATCGTTTGAGACAAAGTCTCTCTAATTTAGGTAATTTTGAATAAATTTCGGAACCTTTTTAATTTCGAACCTTTTATGAAGATAATTTTTCGAAAAATTAAAAATAAGCTTTTTCTAAGATATTTATTACAAAAAATGATTGAGACAAGATCTCTTCCAATTTTAGGTAAGATAATCAAGGAACGAAAAGGCTTTTGATTTTTAAAGAGATATTTTCAAAAAATCCTTTTGATAAAGAGAGAAGAAATTAGTTTTGTGCTTATAAATGGATGTTCTCTCTATCCTACAATAACTCCTAAAATATCTAACCACTAAGGTCTTCAATAGTCTTCATGATCCTTGAAATTGTAAGACTTGCCTTGTTTATTTATTACCGTCCTTATATAATCTGCATAACATATTATTATCCTTATATAATCTGCATAACATATTATTAGCACAAATAATATAATTTAAATTTATTTGTTTTGTTTCAATCATCAAAATCTCAAGATAAACATTTGACCTTGAGCCAACAACAGTAATTTGCCCTAATCGGTGCTGACCAACTCCTGACCGGTGCTGATGAGCCCCAATTCAATGTCGATCTGGTGCCTGCTGATCGCATGGATTAGTAATGAAATGGAGCTCTGCAGTACCGATTTCAGGGATATTGGTAACCCCGTGTCCCGGGCCCAATAGCTCCTTGGTGGCCCTTCCCCCTCATTTTCAGGCACCTCTTATTGCTTGATCGAGCACTTCTCAAGGATCAACAACTCTCAATCTCCCTCGAACGATTCTAAGACCTTATATTTCGACTTTGCTCTTCTTCTTTAGTTGAGACAAAGCCTGACTTGGATCTCAAAAGTCGATCCTTTCAACCTTCACTCACACTTTGGTCTTCCTTAGCCCAAAGCTACTAGTTAATTAATTCATTATTAATTAATCTAATGATTAATTAATAATTCATTAATTAACAATATTATAAAGATTATATTAGGGTCCTCGTGCCCATCCTTTGCTTTATTAGAGAAACATTCGAGCTCTTTGGTCATTTTTCAACCGTGGAGCTCCGATCCGGCCATATCACAAGGGTATAATCACTCAACTCAAAACTTTGTTAATTAAAGTCTGGTCCGTCTGGCACCTTATAAACTCTCAAGCCTAGTCCAACCAGCACTTTGCATGCTTTAAGCCCAGTCCATCCAACACACTAAGCCTGATCCGTTTGACAAAACCGATAAAACTAGCTTTCAACTAAAGCACGATCCACCTGGCACACCTTTAAGCCCACTTCCCCAGTGGCACCTTCAAAAAACCCTACCATCCTAATCGATGGTAGAACTCCATGCCCCCTGATCCTCATACAAACGAGGTACGAATGCATACCAATGGGTTTCAACCTAGGTAGCGAGCCCCCGACCAAATAGACCGGTCGCAATTTAGGGGAATGTGTCGTATGACCTTGGATCCTCAATAAATAGGCTAGAGTCGGGCTCCCCTCTGAATTACACATCTTTCCTTTATTATTTTTAATGCACTATATTTTTTATATTATCAAGCATTAATAGTATGTCTATGCATCAATAATCTGACATTCATGCAAAACACTATTTTTGATTTCTCAATTATGACCCAAACTATTGATTCATTTGAAAGAAGCTAAAAACCTAGTCCCTGAACCCAATGATTCCAGGCTAGTGCATTTTATCCTAAAGGCAAACTTAAAACAGAGTCCATCACTGGGTTTTTTCCTTAATCTTTTCCCCATAAACAAAAACAAATTAAGGTGGCGACTCTTACACACCACACATAGTCAAAGCGCTCCAAGGAGCCAACCCGACATCACATAAGCGTTGATAGCCTCGCAAAGCGGGCAAATTTTGTTATGTTATTTTCATATAATTTGCATGATTGCATGTTGTTCTTATACATTTTACGTTTGCTCGTGTTGTTTTGTTTAAAGTGATTGAAGGAATGCAATTTGAGCAAAGGAATGAAAAGGCTTGCTTTTATAGAAAAAGAGGATCAAAAAGTTGACTAAACATGGAGAATTCGCCTAGCAGACTTCGCGATGCTAATGCAGTCACGTTGGAAAAGAAGAAAGGATACAGTCACGAGCGCCACCTAAAGTCGCGAGCGCAACCTAAATACCAAAGGACTCAGCAGGCACCAAAACGCAAGTCGCGAGCGCGACATTAATATGCGCGAGCACAAGAAGCACTCCAGCAAGTCAGAGAGTTTACAAACAAAGATCGCGAGCGCGACATTAATATGCGCGAGCGTGAGAAGCACTCTAGAGAAGCAGAGAATTTTAAAGCATAAGTTGCGAGCGCGACCTTGAACCTCGCGAGCGTGAGTCGTGTTTCCAGGAGACGTAATTGCTGTCCTTTCATCAGAAAAACATGTCTTCGCGTTGAGTTCGTGTTTCCAGGGAACGTAATTGCTGTCCTTTCATCAGAAAAAACATTTGTTCTTCCTATGCATGGTCGGGGACTCTTCCCAAGAGAAGTCACCTGAAGCACCTCCTACCTGAAGCACCTCTTGGCCAACCAATCACCATCATAACCAACATCATTCTCCTCTTCTATAAATAGCAATCCAAGTGAAGGAAGAAAACATCCATATTCAGATTCAGAAAGATATTCAGACTTAGATTGTATTTCAGATATTAAGTGTAAAAATAGAGAAGTGTGATAGTAGTACTTAGAAGTAAGTTGACGAGAGTAACTTATTATTGTTCGTGCTAAGAACATCAAGAAGTTCCTCGAGGTGTAACGCCCTCTGGAGGCTTGAGTTTGATTACTTCTTTCTCTTGTTTTTTTAAGACTTGTATGTTGTTCTTCATTACTTTTCTATACAAAGCAACAATTTCAATTGGTATCATTCCATAAAAGTTCTTTAAGTTATATTTTGATCTTTGTTTAATCAAGGTTACTAAATTATATTCTCAGAAAGAAATAGTTTAGCAAAGATCAAAGAGATAAAATTCACTTAGTTGAATTTATATATGCATGTTTCACTTGTTTTGTCAAACTTAAATCTGTCTTATTGAAATAATCAAAGAATAAGCACTAGGTTTAATATTTAACAAGATAAGGTATTTATTATAAGTAGAAATACATATAATAGAATAGAATAATTCTATACCGAAGGTTGAATTATATCTTACCATATGTTGATTAATAATTATTTATTGTATGTTACATGCTTTGATTATAGGAAGTAATTAAAATCCTGTGCATTGATAATTTTTTCTAAGTATACTACTAGACACTTATCTATAGAATTTAAATAATAATTAGTTTTTAACATAAACTTAGAATATAGTTAAATTCATTTCACATTTTAATTTTCTGTAAAACATAAAATTAAGAGAATAAAGTAGTAAAGTGTGGATTTAACCCGTTCCTTTTGTGGGGATCATCTTTTATACTACGTTGCGATCCGTACACTTGCGGGAACTCAAAAGAGACGCAACGAGTTTTTGACGCCGTTGCTTGGGAAACGATGTTTCTGTCATTGAACGAAATATTCTTATATGTGATTTACAGCCTTATTTTTATTTAAGATACCTACTTACTTTTGATTCAAAATTTTTGCAGAGCACATAATTTTAATTACCTCATTATTGCCAAGTACAAGAAATTTCAAGAATTATGGCTGAGGGGAAATCCACCACAAAGGTTGATGGATAGGTTGATGGATTACGTCACTCCAAGTTTAAATGGTTCACAGAAAGGAGTAGTACGTCCACCGGTAAATGCTAACCAGTTTGAGATTAAACCTGCTTTATTACAAATGATCCAAAACAGTGTTCAATTTTACAGATTACCGAATGAGGATCCTAACTCTTCCATAGCCAGTTTTCTTAAGATATGTGATACATTTAAAATGAATTCAGTACCAGTAGACGCTATTAAGCTATGTCTATTTCCTTTGACATTGAAAGATAAGGCAAAAGCTTGGTTGAATTCATTGCCACCAAATTCTATCACTACTTGGGAGCAACTAGCACAAGCATTCCTATCTAAATACTTCCCACTAGCAAAAACCGATAGGCTTATCAAAGAAATAACCTCATTTACCCAATATGAAAATGAATCCCTATATGAGGCATGGGATCGCTATAAAGAACTCCAACGAGTTTGCCCACACACCTTGGCCTTCCCGAAATATATTGATTCAAAACCTATCTACAATACAATGGGGTTACTCCTTCTATAAGAGGAACTATAGATGCTATGGCAGGAGGATCATTAATGAAGAAGACTACTAATGATGCAATTGAGCTACTGGAGTAGATGGCTAACAATAATAGCATATGGTCAATCGAAAGGGCTCAGGTAAGTCATTCCACTGTTAATCATGAGTCATCTTCTACTTCTTCTTCAAAGAATTCGATAAAGAAAGTTCATGAATTAGATCCTTTAACTATGATGCAAGCACAGATTTTTGCTTTGTTATATAAAATTAATAACTTGAATGTGAGTAAATCAACATCTCTTATTTGTGAAAATTGTAGTCAAAATGGGCATGTATCAAATGAATGTAATTATAAGCATCCGGTTATGGAGGAACAAGTGAATTATGTTCAAGGACAAGTTCGCGGTCCATACTCGAATTACCTCGAATACTTATAATGCTAAAAATACGTAATTATCCTAATTCTTTTGAGAGAAACCATGATAAATCAAAGATAGAGGAAATCAAGTTAGTCATCTCAAGGATAGATTTAGGACAATTGACTTTGACTAGTAAAATTGATAAATTCTTGGATGGAATTAACCAGAAAATGAGCAGTCAAGATGATAGTTTTAAATGGTTAGAATCAAAGTTTGACAAGTTATGCAAAAACCATTCATCATCCATACATAACTTGGAGGTACAAGTAAGGCAACTTGCCAATGCTATTTCCTCACGAGAAGTAGAAAATCGTCCAAGTAATACAGAAAAGAACCCTAGGGAAAATGTAAATGCCATTGCTTTACGAAGTGGAAAAATAGTAGATAAAATAGTTCCTTCGGGAATTGATGCTAATCTTTTGAATAATGAAACTGTGAAACTGGTTTGTGAATCGAGCATTGAAGTGAATGTTGCTGGATCAAAAGAACAGGAAAAAGGAAAGGACAAGGAAAAGGATAATGTTAAAGCTTATCAATCTAGGCCACCTTTTCCACAAAGGCTAAAGAAGCAAGAGCAAGATAAGCAGTTCTTAAACTTTATTGATAAATCAGTTCTTAAACTTTATTGAATAAATTGAAAAAATTTGCATATTAACATTGTCACTCATGGAGCTATTACACAAATTTCAAACTACGGGAAGTTTCTTAAAGACTTGATCTCAAAGAACGTAGTTGGGAAAGATGTGATCAACAGTTACCCTGACTAAGGGATTTGTCAGTTCCATAATCTTCAAGTAAGTTACCTAACTAACTCAAGGATCCAGGAAGCTTTTACTATTACCATGCAAATTAGCCAAAGTAGATATTCACCTAGATGTCTTTGATGATTTTAGGCAGCAAGTATTTAATTTGATGCCATTATCTCTCTTTAAGAATTGGGTTAGAAGATTTGAAGTTAAGAAGAGAACTAATTTGGTTTTACAACTTGCTGGACCAATACTAATTAAAAGAAACCCCTATCGGCATTATTGAGATGTACTGTTATAAGTTGACCAAGTTTTTTTCCAACTGATTTTGTCATACTGATTTTGTTTATGGATGAAATCGTCCTTCTTATTTAGGAGACATTTTAATGACACAGGGAGGCATTAAATTGATGTTAATTGATGTTTCAGAAGGAAAGTTAGTCCTTAGGATAGATGATGATGTCATTGAATTTCATATAGACAAAGCCATGAAATATCCTATGGATGAAGGTAATTGCATGAGAATTGACATAGTTGACGCATGTGTACAGGAAATTTTTGCCTTGGAAAATGATGATAAATATGAAGAGGATAATGTAAATAATGAAGGAGAGGATTTTATAAATTTAAGACTTGAAATGCTACTTAGAGAGCAAAATGCTACTTAGAGAGCATGAGCCTCTTCCTCCATCAATTGAAAGTCCACCAATAATAGACCTTAAAGAGTTACCTAGTCATCTACGATATGCTTTCCTAGGTAAAAATCACACACTTCCCATAATTATTTCTAACAAATTAACTATGATCAAGAAAATGACTTGTTAAAAATTGTTAGAAATAATATTAAGAGTATAGGATGGTAAATTTCTGACCTTAAGGGGATAAGTTCGAATCGAGTCATGCATTACATTAATCTTGAAGAAGGGCATCTACCTAGGGCAGAAAGACAAAGGAGACTTAATCCTAATTGAAAGAAGTAGTGAAGAAAGAAATTATAAAGTTGTTAGATGTAGGAATAATATACCCAATTTCAGATAGCCAATGGGTTAGTCCAATTCAATATGTGCCTAAAAAAGGAGGAATGACTGTAGTAAAAAACGAAAATGGTGAACTTGTAACGTCCCATTTTTCTATTGAATCGAGTCGTTGCTTAGAGTCGAGTCGGGCTGATCCAAAACCCGGTTCGAACCATTAGAGTCCAGAGTGGGGTAGAATGGGATGTAATTGAAATCAGGAAAAGAAGTGGACTGACTTACTTTTGAAGGAAAACAAAAAGATTCAAAGTATAAGGATAGGGACTTGCTAGCACGAAAAGTATTTAAAGTGAGGTTATTAAAGTTGTTACCATTTTGGACACTTGAGGTCCAGTTTGAGTTAATATTTCACAGAAAAATCCATTTGATATTTTGGAGATTGTTCCCGTGGAGTTCCATTTCATTTCATTCTTCATTCCTTATCTTCATCTTTCTCCTCTACTTTTCCTCTCATTGCTTTCCCTTTCTCCATCATTATTAATTGTAGTGAAATTTTAATGGGGGTTAAGGATTTCTAATTCACTTCTACTTCTAGCCAAGTTAAGTAAACTCTATTCTATCCAAGTAAGTAAACCTTCTTGAATTTCATACTTGAATCATTTGGTGATATTGTTAGAGTATTCATAAGAATTCTTATGTCTAGGAGAGGTGAGCTCAAGGTAGAAGGAAGCTAAGAAGAAGATTCCAAGCTTGTTAAGTGAAGGTGTGCTATCTCTTTTAGTTTCATTCATTTCCTTGCATGATAAATTGTGTGGTGTGTTGATAATGAGAAGATATGTTGCTTAATATTGAGTAAGAATACTGAAAATGGTGAAAAAGCATGAGATGAAATGAATAAATGAAGTAGATATTGAGTTTTTACTGAAACAGGTTTTGCTGGAAAAGTAACTAGTAAAGTACTATCACCTTGATTATTTTACCCTATTAATGATGAAATTAGAAGTGTTCATAGAAGAGTTATTTGTTCCTCTATGTCGCATACCTCCAGCTTTACATGGGCTTCTTCGAATCACCCCAAATCGAGTTATATATTGAGAGATATGACCAAAAGAGTATAGGCACTGCGCAGGCTGGGAAAAACGTCGCGCGCTCGCGAAATTCCATTCTGCGCGCTCGAAATGTTGTCTGGAAACTCTCTGACTCTCATTGCACTTCTCTGCGCCTCGCGCCACTTTGACTGGCGCGCTCGCGAATTGTGTTCTGATGCTCTTTTGGCACTTTCATTTTCAATGCAATTGTATTCCTTTGCTTCACACTTATATGCCTCCAGATCATTTTTTAAAAACAAAAACAGACATATCATTAGAACATGTTATCCAAAACAAACATTTGCAAGCATGCAAATGATTGTTGAATGATGGTAAAAACACTATGGTGTATGAAGTTATGAATGCTATGCAATTGTATTCCTTTTCTCAACTTGTATGTCTTCAATCATTTTAAAGCAAAAAGACAACATGAATACATGTATAAACACAAAATGCAAGCATGCAAATGGTGTGAAACTAACATGACACAAGTTGCCCGCTTGGAGAGGCTATTAGCATACAGGTAAGCAGTAAATTTTATGAAATGATGAAGCAGTTAATTTCATGACACAAGCATGCAAATTATGACACAGTTACTGTGCATTTGTTTTATCTATTGACATACCATTAATATGCTCCATTGAGGTTAGGTAGAAACCATGTAGATAAGGCTATGTCGCAACATAGAATAGCAGATCTGTCGCGACATAGCAATAGACAGATCTGCGCCCCAACCAGTTCGGTACTCCGGCTACAGGCCGTTGAGTGGATATGATTATTAAATAGGCCCATTAGCAGCCAAAGCATACCAGTCATTCCAGTCTCATTACAGTTATGTCATTATCCACTTCGGTAATATCACACATAATACCTTTGGAGCCTACAGATAATTCTTGCCATAACATTGCAATATATGATCGGCTACGTATACATAACAGCGCAAAGAAAGATCACAAGCTAAACAAAAGTATATGATAAGTGCTTGTCTCTCTCTCCATCTGTGAGTACATGTTTATTCTACATATAGTATTGCTTATATGTTTCTTTACTTCATTATGATATTCACTGAGTTTAATCAAAGTCTGCCAGAATTCCATTTACGCAGCCCCATAAAGAACATAGGTAAGGGATACATGAAGTTATAACTGCGACATTCATGCTTACAAGGTCATTTACGTTGCAATCGTTTAAGGTAGCCATACATTCATGAGATGTTAATTAATCTCACCACTTGATATGATTGTAAACTAATGAATGCATAAGTTCATACAGCATATGAATAGCAAGTAAGGAAATGAAACCTATACTGTCTCTCTCATTTTACATGTTTAATTTTGATTTCATTTCATACAACACCAATGTAGAACAGCAGGGTAAGATTAATGATATATCATAATTGTGAACCCCTCACCCAAAATACTCACTGGCATATGAATGCATCTGAAAACATTAAGGAATAGAACATGCCACGCGACTGCTTGATGCCCTGTTACACTTGTAATTAGGGTAAACTAGGAAAAACCTATAAATGACTCAATTTCTAATAACTAGTACTAGGGATTAATTATCCCAATGTCTAACGGCATAATCTGCGAACCTGAGGTGGATCCCGGACTTATCCTGTCATGCTGATGAAACTAACCAAAAATGAATGCTGCAAGATGATTGGACCAATGGAATGTGCTAAGTGATGTTGACATGCCATTGGCGACTTGCCCAGCATTCGGGTTAATTC